CGGGAAGTGGGTTTTCTAGAACCCCTGTTTTACGACAGATTGTCGTGATATCTATCTATATATATACATATATTTGACCAAAACCCATAATCATGGGTAGAGTGTACCGCTGCCAGTGTCTCTCTTTTCCAAACAAAAGGAAATGATATTAATTTGAATAACCGTCCGCAAATGCAAATTGATACCGAGAATGAAATCGGTCGCTCGCTTTTTCTAATCAATAAGCTTTATTACCAATTACAATTCGTAAGCCGTGATCGAATGGAAAAAGCGAGCGACCGATTTCATTCTCGGTATCAATTTGCATTTGCGGACGGTTATTCAAATTAATATCATTTCCTTTTGTTTGGAAAAGAGAGACACTGGCAGCGGTACACTCTACCCATGATTATGGGTTTTGGTCAAATATCATCTCTTTTTGATTATAATGTCAGGATAATTTACAAAGCTGAAATGTAAACTCATAACTTCATTAATATTTATATTAATAATTAGGAGGTAATTTCATCGATTTCGAAATTTTACCTGACTGAATATGGCACTTTTTACTCATTCAAGTTGGCATTAAATTCATATATAATCCCATTTAAATATCGCGGGAAAGCAGAATTTATTCGAGATCACGAATGAGCAAAATTCTCACCTTTCGCACGTGCAAACTTTGAGCGGACGTTGCGTGCGCATACAATATTGAATCACCGTAAATTTTTGCATAGCAGTATTTTATATATAATTTAATAAGCATGCAAAGTTTCAGGAGATTTCATATAGAACTTGGATCACAACGGGACTCCAAAGTTGATAAAAATGGTGAAAACAGCAATTTTCAGTAATTTTAGCAATTTTCTATCAATTTGGGCGTGTCCCCACGTGTGCAACTTTTCGATTTTCAACTTTAAAACTAGCCTATAACACAATTTAGACCTTTAGGAAGCACAATCGAGCTCCACAACCCAAGGGATGGCCCAACACCAGAGAATACTAATTCACAACTTTTGTATTTTTATAAAATTATTCTTCAAAAAAGCACTAACTTCAATAGCGAATATCTTTATGAAGGAGCAAGATAGGAAAACTTTCCGGTAGATTTTCAGAATGCTTGAACAATTATCTAATATGAAAATGTCCTCAGATTTTGAATAAAATTACTCCTTAATGATTTAAAATCGATTTGAAAAGTTGTTATTTTGTTAAAAACCAAGTTTTAAAAACACTTAACTTGATGACGTCATCAAGTGATGATGATGACGTTAAATTATTTTTTGATATAATGGAAACTGGAGTGTAAACGATTATCTTCAAGACCTGTGGTTCGAAATGACTGTATCTTTTATACTTTTGAATCTACGGACACTTAAATGTAGGCTATAATTGACTGCAAAAGCGTCTATACATACATATATATATAGTATATATACTTCACGACAATCTGTTGTAAAACAGGGGTTCCAGAAAACCCACTTCCCGATACTCCTGAAACATGAAATTTTTTTTACAGTCGATTTGGACAAGGTCTAGACGCCCTGCAAAGTTTCATATCTCTAACTCAATTTTAACATGGTTTTTAAGGCACCTGAATATGGCGATTTTGGGTTTTTTACCTAATTTCGTATTACATGCTGGCGCGTATTTTGCGCAAATTTCTTAAAAACCTCCACATAACTATTTCTTATTCCTGTCATCTTTAACATTGAATTAGAATGTTTGAACTTAAATATGCCTGCTGAACTACTTTCGATGAGTCTTAATGCCTGGAAAACAATAAAGGGGATATACTAGTATAGGGGGTAAATAGTATTGTGAATATAAGGGCGACGGTAATGCTTGCCAGCATTGTGATATATATATTCAGGGATAGACGCTTTGCCAGTCAATTGTAGCCTGTATTTAATTGTCCATAGATTCAAAAGTATAAAAGATACAGCCATTTCCGACCACAGGTCTTGAAAATAATTGTTTACACTTTAGTTTACATTGTATAAACAAATTATTTGACGTCATGAACACCCCTTGATGACGTCATCAAGTTAACCGTTTTTAAAACTTGATTTTTGACAAAGTAATAACTTTTTAAAATGATTTTACACCATTAAAAAATAATTGTATTCAAAATCTGAGGAAATTTTCTCCTTAGATAATTGTTCAAGCATTCTGAAAATCTACCGGAAAGTTTTTCTAGCTTGCTCCTTCATAAAGATATTCGTCATTGAAGTTTGTGCTTTTTTCAAGAATTATTTTATAAAAACGTCAATTTTGCGATTTAGTATTCTCTGGTGTTGGGCCATACCTTGGGTTGTGGAGCTCAGTTCTGCTTCCTATAGGTATAAATTGTGCATTAGGCTAGTTTAAAAGTTAAAAATCGAAAAGTTGCACACGTGGGGACACGCCCAAATTGATAAAAAATTGCTAAAATCACTGAAAATTGCTGTTTTCGTCATTTTCTGTCAACTTTAGAGTGCCGTTGTGATTACAGTTCTTCTTGAAATACTTTGAAACTTTGCGTGCTTATCAAGCTATATATAAAACAATTACATGCAAAAATTTACGGCGATTCAATATTGGATTCGCACGCAACGTCCGCTCAAAGTTTGCACGTGCGAAAGGTGAGAATTTTGCTCATTCGTGATTTCCAACAAATTCTGCTTTGCCACGACAGTTTAATGTCATTATAAATGAATTTAATGCCAACTTCAATGAGTATTAAGTGGCATATTCAGTCAGTGATCGACCGATATGCTTACCTAAACACAAGGAAATGTTTTTAAAGGAAAAATTTCGAAATTGTTGAAACTTCCTCCTTATTAATGAAGATATCAATTTATATTTCGACTTTATAAAGTACCCTGACATTATAATCAAAAAGAGATGATATTTGACCAAAACCCATAATCATGGGTAGAGTGGACCGCTGCCAGTGTCTCTCTTTCCCAAACAAAAGGAAATGATATTAATTTGATTGACCGTTCTCAAATGCAAAATGATACCGAGAATGAAATCGGTCGCTCGCTTTTCCCATTCATTTACAATTGTAATAGATTAAGAAGAACTACCCAAAGGCAGCTGTACTCGGCAATAAAGATTCAATAAACTTCAGCTAATTCAATAAGTAATAACTACCACCCTTACCCCGAAATACTAGGTATCGACCCGAACGCAACCCGAAGAGATTTTTACAGCATCTGATTGATGTACCTAATCAATCGAAACTTATTACAATTCGTAAGCCGTGAATGAATGGGAAAAGCGAGCGACCGATTTCATTCTCGGTATCATTTTGCATTTGAGAACGGTCAATCAAATTAATATCATTTCCTTTTGTTTGGGAAAGAGAGACACTGGCAGCGGTCCACTCTACCCATGATTATGGGTTTTGGTCAAATTATTAAAACAAAATTTATTAAATGTTAAAACAAAATTTATTAAAACAAAATTTGTCGGCGTCTAATTTGTTAATTTATTTTCAGTCTATTTATTGGTTAGAGTTAGGTTTAGGGTTTGGGTTAACTAGGCCTAGGCCGGCTGGGTTTCCGTTTTATAGGGTTGTACTTATAGGGCAGGGTTAGAGTTAGAGATAAGATTAGGGTTATGGTTATATAATATCGGGGTAATGGTTAATATAATTATAAGTTAGGGTTAGGAAATCAAAGTAACGGAACACGGGTGTTATTTGAAGTGGAATAGATCGACATGGGCTCGGTATATTTGCGCCCCCGACGATACAAGTTTAAACTTGAAGTTTAATGTTCAAAATCGGGGAAAAAACTAGCTTAATAAATAATAAAAAATCGAATAAATGGAATGGTAAATGGTCTCGAAAAGTCAAAAAATGTGAGTTGTAGACTAAAAATTTGCGAAGTTTGTGACTAAAATTATGGTAACCAATTTATTGTGAACCAAAATTATTGGTCTTATAAGGTAATGCATAATAAAAACCCATATTTTGCAATTTTCCAAATTGTGATCGCCTATTTAATTGGTTGTGACATAAATTTTGTTTTGGGCGACCAGAAAATGAAATAATTTAACGCCGATTTACAAAGTTTGAAAGACTAGTTTGTAGTTAAAGTTTGATTAAACAAAGTCCATGCTCGAAATTTTGAGAGATAAAAATCGTGCGACGCGCCTAGCTTTGCTTTGGTATAATTGGGCCATGAAGATTGCAAACCAAATATAATCATGATAATAAGGCCAGGTAGCGCAGTTGGTTAGAACGCCAGCTTTAAGTTTACAATCGTAAGGTTGCGAGTTCAAATCCCACTGTCTGCCTGGTCGTGGGGTGAGCGTCGTTGACGTTCAGCTAAGGATCCTGAGTGGTCTATGCAGCCCCCCGGTCAGCCCCCCGAATATTCGAGAAATCGGGTGTGAGGGTTAAATGAGGAGTTGCACATTGCAGCAAAGTCTCGGGCGAAGAAAGTATGGTACACACTACCTTAACCGTCACTGGCCAAATAAATCCTTCGGCTTCCTGTAATTGGCTGGTTGCACTTGTGTAACAATGTGGCTGTTGGAATACACCGAAGTAAAATAAGTGTCTTGATAAAAAAGTATGGCTGTTAAAGGGCCTAGCCTTTATTTGTTTCTGCTAAGCTGCTGTGGTACACTAAATTGGCCATTCGAATTCCAATTTTGTGTGGCAAGGTGACATGTGTTTGGTTGAAAAATAACCATACCTAGGACAGTCTCCCATTTTTTAAAAGTGATGCAATGTTCACTCAGCTGAACTGTACTAATACTATTGCAGATGTTTGTTATTTATTGTTAATTTAATTGAGAGCACTTACCACATTGTACCAGCATGCAATATCGCAGCTGTCCCACCAAATTGATAGTACCACTAACCAAGTTAATATGTTGCATCTGTTACTGACTACGTCATAGAACTTGACATTTACTTATTGTTTAGTTAATACTCAAGTAATAAACAAATGTCAAGCACTCGGATTTATCCTCACTACTTGATGATGCGGGACAAATATAAAAGAAAGACGGTCCTAAACTTTATTTCAGGTTGGGAGATCAGTTTCGTGCAAATGGTTCGCATCCTCATCGTTCTTATAGCAACCTAGTAAGTAATCTTTAATAAGTATACCGCACATCACGATAATGTTACCTGGTAACTCCAGATCTGGTTACTCCAAGTTAAGTTACCAGGTTACTTCAAGTTCCGTTTCCTAATACTTACTAATCTTACACTTTCTATCTCAGTTTCCTGGGTCTACAAATCACAGCGAAGTCAGTAAAGGATGCTCTTGGAACAAAGGAAGACGATATTTCAAAACGTGAGTTAATAAACACAGACATTTGCAAACATCCGCATTTTGATATTTTTCTTAATATTTGTGGCACTGAGTAAAAGGGAAAAAACGTTTAAGCGGGACAATGGTCAAAATTATTTTCTTGAGAAATTAAAAAATATTGGTGGTACTACTTAAATTAAATATAATTGGTGGTACTATATACTGTGCTCATTGTGGTTGTAGCGCAAACTTGAACAAATCCTCGTTAGTTGTAGAATTAGGGACAAAGGGAAAAACTCTCGTCATTCTACAGTTTTCTAATAGTTGTCTTACTTTCAGATATGTTGCTTGATTTTGATAACACAGATAACCTGGACACGATAGTGCATTTCAACAACGAGGAGGAAGGTGAGTTTTATCCAAATCTTACACGTGTCTCCAACACGTGACCTTCAAATCTTACACGTGCCTCCAACACGTGACCTTCAAATCTTACACGTGCCTCCAACACGTGACCTTCAAATCTTACACGTGTCTCCAACACGTGATCGTCAAATCTTACACGTGCCTCCAACACGTGACCTTCAAATCTTACACGTGTTTCCAACACGTGACCTTCAAATCTTACACGTGTCTCCAACACGTGACCTTCAAATCTTACACGTGTCTCCAAAACGTGACCTTCAAATCTTACACGTGCCTCCAACGCGTGACCTTCAAATCTTACACGTGTCTCCAACACGTGATCGTCAAATCTTACACGTGCCTCCAACACGTGACCTTCAAATCTTACACGTGTCTCCAACACGTGACCTCCGGACCTTATTTTGCCGTCTCCCGACCATTATACTATTATAGAAATAAGTATAGTTACTAATATTTTGAACAATTTTAAGAAATAAAACGCTAAGATTATAAAACTTCCAGGAATGTTGGGGCCGGTAATGTGGACACTGAACGAGGAGATATGACACAAACAACTACTGGGAGTGGTAATACGACGTGGGAACTCCTGGTATTTCAGATATCAGTGGTATAGGAGGGTGTCACTGTGAGATCTGCAGTTGAAATGTTCAACTAACTGAGCATTTTGATACGAGTTGTGTAATGTGTATCTGATGCAGGACTTAAGGACTATTTAACTTTTAGTTGTAGGATTTTGTTGGTAATTTTGGAATTATTTCAATCGACGAGGTTTGAGCACTGAGCAGCGTTCAATGATTATTGATAAGTTTTTGAGTCGACCAAGTAATCAAAGTTTATTGTACTGCTATTGTATAATGTTTCGAAGTTGTCAGCATAGCATTTAAACCATAGTTTTAATCAACAATTTTTTAGTTAACCTGGGTCAAAACTAATTAAAATAATTGAACACGGAATAAAGTGCGAAGCAAACAAGTGAAATCTAAATCTAAAAGTGGGGGACTCAAAATTATCCTCCAAATCAATGATTATCATTATAAGATATCAATTGACTTCACATATCTTTTTATTTAGTTACTAAAATCGAAATTTATATATTTTAAAAGCAAATCTGAACATCACTTCAAGATATAGCTCGTGATTATAAACATCTACTTTAGTCCAGTTCTAGCATGGCCCTCAAATGTCCATGAAAATTTGTCCATTATCGTGTGACGTTCTCTAGTCTAAACCTTTCAGAATGTTGTCACCATTCGGTCCATCAACCTGCGCATCTGCGATTTCTGAAATATTTTGATTGAAAATGAGGTAAATATTTAGATATGAATTGTAACAAAAAGGTTACGGATTACAGTGCAGTGATTAAAAATTGGCAGTTTAAAAAATTCTCAATACGTTCAATGTATACAGTGGAAATACCGCGAGATTTCAACCGCAAATTCTAAATCATCCCGACTCCCACTATATATGCCACGAGCTCCACAGTCCATAGTTGAGGCCATAAATGGCAAGATTTATGAGTCAAGACCTTGACAATTATAAAACGTCTTCTAGTTTCGCTGTCATGGCAAGCTTGGCATCGTCAAATCTTCATTTATTTGAGTATATGATCTCCTACAACAAATTTAATTTAGCCGCGTTTAAATTTTGTTGATTTATGGCTTCCGCTAAATAGAAAGTGCATTAGGAAGTCAAGAGAAAGACTGTACTACAAGTCGTCAATTTCAATTTCACGTCCACGAAGTTTGTTTTAATTAATAACTCACCGTCGCAAACTTCGCAGACTGACTTATACTCAGTTTTAGGGACACAAACAATTCCCAGAGACCACTTGCTTCCCTCTGGGGGATCATTAGCTGACGAGGAGAATCGTACTGAAGCTTTGTTACCTTCCACTTTGGAGTTGAAGGGTTGCTTCTCACCCGTCCATTTGATCTGAAATGGTTGTGAATTTGTGAGAGAGCTCCAAGTGATAGTGCAGATTCAAGTCTGTAAACTTAGTCTACTGATATGAGGCACGAGTGTACCACCCTCTACCGCCGTATGTGGTATAACTTATGCAAGATATTGTAACGATACCACCTAGGTGTGGTGTGTCGCCAAGCTAGCCATCAAAAAATATCAGCAAAAATAACAGTAAATGTAACAGTTAAAGTAACAGTAAAAGTAACAGTAAAAGTAACAGTAAAAGTAACAGTAAAAGTAACAGTAAAAGTAACAGTAAAAGTAACAGTAAAAGTAACAGTAAAAGTAACAGTAAAAGTAACAGTAAAAGTAACAGCAAAAGTAACAGTAAAAGTAACAGTAAAAGTAACAGTAAAAGTAACAGTAAAAGTAACAATAAAAGTAACAGTAAAAGTAACAGTAAAAGTAACAGTAAAAGTAACAGTAAAAGTAACAGTAAAAGTAACAGTAAAAGTAACAGTAAAAGTAACAGTAAAAGTAACAGTAAAAGTAACAGTAAAAGTAACAGTAAAAGTAACAGTAAAAGTAACAGTAAAAGTAACAGTAAAAGTAACAGCAAAAGTAACAGCAAAAGTAACAGTAAAAGTAACAGCAAAAGTAACAGCAAAAGTAACAGTAAAAGTAACAGTAAAAGTAACAGTAAAAGTAACAGTAAAAGTAACAGTAAAAGTAACAGTAAAAGTAACAGTAAAAGTAACAGTAAAAGTAACAGTAAAAGTAACAGTAAAAGTAACAGTAAAAGTAACAGTAAAAGTAACAGTAAAAGTAACAGTAAAAGTAACAGTAAAAGTAACAGTAAAAGTAACAGTAAAAGTAACAGTAAAAGTAACAGTAAAAGTAACAGTAAAAGTAACAGTAAAAGTAACAGTAAAAGTAACAGTAAAAGTAACAGTAAAAGTAACAGTAAAAGTAACAGTAAAAGTAACAGTAAAAGTAACAGTAAAAGTAACAGTAAAAGTAACAGTAAAAGTAACAGTAAATGTAACAGTTAAGGTAACAGTAAAAGTAACAGTAAAAGTAACAGTAAAAGTAACAGTAAAAGTAACAGTAAAAGTAACAGTACGTTTGATTCAACAGAGCTGATGCTGATCATGTCATCTCCGGCCATACTGAAGTCGAATTGAGCACAGACGACGATGTCGCACTCGGGGTCGAGATCTATCACGTATTCACAGTGAGTGTTGGGGTTGTATGAACCGTTGTTGTACCTGTTGAAATAGCATGGTTATTTGATTTGGTAGCACTGGTTGATAACAAGGTGCGCAACAAGCTAACTGGTTTTGCTGACTAACTATGTTCTTACTGGTAACTATGGTTACTGGTAACTATGTTATTACTGGTAACTATGTTATTACTGGTAACTATGTTCTTACTAGAACATAGAGATTGTATTATTTTTGGCCTAACTAATAATTAGATTTCATGCTGTTTATTTATCTTTTATGTGCATTCTTAAATAAGTCACTGAATCCATTTATTGAGCTTGTGCCAAAGTATACTGTATGCTTTGACATAACGGAGTACTGTATTACAGCAAGATCGTAACCAATTACTTAATTAGATCATTGTTAAACAGTTCTAAACAGTGTGTAAACTTGTAAAATATGTAAAGGATTCTGTAAATAGTTGGTAGATAATACTTTTAATAATATATCCTACAAAATGGCTCATTTACTAAAGATGAATGTTCAAATGATAGTGAGATAGTGCTACACGTCCCCCCATATAACATCAACAGTTCAGCGTCATAATTTGGTCAACTATAAACATCTCATAGCCATTAGGACAGAGGATTTGCCCTCATAGAAAGTTGGGGAATACATCGGGTGTGCACCATGATCATTTAAATAAGAGCTCATGAGTTAACTGCTGTATACATTTACATTATTTGTATTGATGACTTCAGACCAGGACTGTTTTATCAAATGGCCGGGAAGTTTTAAAAGTTAAACAAGTTTGAGTATCATTATTGATTTATTTATAATTTCCTGAGAGTTCACTAGTTGAGAATAGTATCTGTGTAACTAAGAAATAATAAAATACTTACCGATACTTACTTACTCTACTAATCTCATATGAAAAGGTAATAATGTGAATTGTGAAACCAATAATCGAGGCAAAAATCAGGTTTCACAGGGCAAAATGCTAAAATGTTACCGGTTAAAAGCACTAGCAGGAACCCGTCTAACCCTAAAGTGATGTCAAGACTCAAGAGACTAAAATAATTATTTTAGTCTTCTCACAGGCACTTCGATACAGAAGGATAATCAATGATGACGTCTTGCTGGATGAGAGATTGGCAGAGCTTCAGTTGTTTTTTGAGCGGTCTTCATATCCTACTGATATGGTGAGAGAGGTCATCAGTGATGTCAGATCGATACCAAAAACTTTACAGTACAAGGCAAAGGATCAGGGTCCCCCTTCTTTCACACCATGGTTTGTTACAGTCGGTGCGGGCTATGAGGAAACCAAGGAAAAGGCTAAAGAGGCCAGTAACATCATCTCAAATAGCCGTACATGGAGCAGTGAGAACCCTGAGAGGATCCCTAAACTCCAAGTGGTGACCAGGCGAGCCCCTAACTTAAAGGACACTTTATTCAAGAGAAAGAAGCTTGCCTTAGGTTCAGAGTCAAGAACAACTGACCCATGCACCAAACCTGGTGAGAAGAAGAAAGGCAGACCCTGCCAAACTTGTCACCTTGTTAGTGGCAATTCCATGGTCTCCAATAATGGACACTCAGTCAGAACTCAAGGTGGTAACTGTAAGACACGCAACATTGTGTACGGCGCGACGTGCAAACTTTGTACTGTTAATAACGTATACGTGGGAAAAACAGTCACCAGCCTCAGCCAACGTGTGAATGGTCATCGCAGTAAATATTATGAGATTTTAGAGGCGAGTAGTAAGGGGAATGTTGAGAGCCACAGAGATTTTGATGACGAGAATGTTTTAGGGGCACATCTTTTTTCAGTTCATAATTTGAGGGAGAGATCTGATTTCAATGAAAGTTTCCATTTTGATATTTTGTGTTCTACATCCCCAGATAATATTAGAAAGTCAGAACAGTTTTATATTAACAAATGGAAGACACTTTATCCGTTTGGCCTGAACAATGTGAATTCCGTTTCTGGAAGCTAATTTTTCATGGTGTCCCGAATTTTATTTTTAAATCGTCCATTTTTTGTTTATATATGCAGTCTATCAATTTTTGAATTGCGTCTTTTTGATTTAATGAACTACTGCAGACTCCACATTATTATAGTATATGCCATTAATTTTGTTCCGATTTTAAACTATTCCATTTTGACGAGATGCTAAATTAATTAATTAATTTTTTGAGACTTTACTACATTTTTGATGAGAATTTTTGACATTTTCAAACTAACCATTGATATTCTCAGATTATGTGACTGATTAAATGCTGAAGATAAAAGAAATATATTCATTTTGCTAAGATTATGTTTGCGTTTCATTGCTCAACAGCTGTTCGAAGGATCAAATTTAGGAAAATAATTATTACCTATTTAATTCGCGTTTTTGACACCACTTGGGGGTCCAAATTTTGGGCTCTAAAACTCCTATTTCTTGGCCAATTTTTTATTTCTTCATTTGAAGGCCATTAAAGCATTTGACCCAGTCAAAAAAGTTTCAGTTGTATATTTTTTACGGTTTTTGCGGAAAGTCGTGTTAAAATTGATGCCGTGGTGTCAGTAAAATGGCACGGATAAATAAATATACATATATATCGTCTCGCCTTATACATAGTAAGATAACCTCCCAGTACTATAAAAGCAAAATCTCTAAACGAGTTAGGAAAAAAGTAATGTACCCGTGAGAGAAAATGATGACGGAACCATTGATGTAGTAACAGCAAGCCAATCCATTCTGATCACCTGAAACAAAATATTTAGTAACAGCAAGCCAATCCATTCTGATCACCTGAAACAAAATATTTAGTAACAGCAAGCCAATCCATTCTGATCACCTGAAACAAAATATTTAGTAACAGCAAGCCAAACCATTCTGATCACCTGAAATAAATATTTATGACTATCAAATTTTGAGATATTTTCCTTCAGTATGTTATTGAATGTTTGAGCGAAGAAAATCAATAATTATATAAGCATTGGTTAGTGGTTCAGCATATTTTAAACTTCTGCTATTTTGGTATGAGCTGACTCTTGAAATTGAAACCACGTGACATAGCCTGCAGTAAAATATCCACAAGGTCGGTTTTTGGGCAGCAATCTCTGGCAAGATAAATGGCGCTACAAATTGTGTCAAGTCTAGGGTGGGTTATTACAATAAATTGCGACCCTAATAAGCACCACGAATAATGCTCCCCAGACTATTGCAAAGCAATCTCCACATCTAATGGAATTCTTCAGTCCAGGGTGTCGCTTATTATACAGGTCCGGTTTGAGTAAAGCAGTCTTTTTTAGTTCTGCGGATCTCTTCCGGTTCTTAAACGGGCGTTAAATAGCAATACTGTTAAATTGTTGGCAGTTTTGGTAATCTGTTCGAAGCTTCAACTATTTGAACGCTTCAACTATTTAAACGCTTTTAAAAATTAAGGAGTTTCTAATGGCTTGTTTAACGTCAAAAGTCGTACTGTCGTAGTTCAGAGCTTTTAATTTTGCGTCAGTAAGAAATATAAAGAGTCGAATGTTGGGAGATGTATTAATTTGAACTATTTTGAACTTTAAAAAACCCAATATTATAGCTGACATATCTTGTACACTTTATAATATAACTTGAAGTTGCTCACAGTTATCTTATAATTATATTATATATAACAGCAATCTCAGGAATTGAATTTGGTTAGAGGCTTTATAGTTTATAACTTATAAAAATTCTACTGCTTATAATATAAGCGGTTACTGCGCTCTAAATATTTAAATTATGGATTTATTTAACTTTCGAAGGGATCTGTTTTATAATTTAACCCATATCATTAGTTAACACGCTATTATAGAGCTGTACTCTACTCATGTGGCATCAGGTATTGTTCTGATATTATCTCCATCTTTTAAAGCTACAATACTTTTAAGTTTTAAAATGCTTTTATTTGATAACAGAGTTATCAAAGGTAGTAGTTGAATATAGAGTAGTTAACTTATAGTTAAATTGACATATTGTGGAAGCAAGAGTTATTGAATAATATGATATAAACTAATATAAATAGGGTGGGTTGAGGTATATGATGAGTGGGAATGACGGCAATGTTAGGAGACACTAGCGCAATCAGTGTGCCACTTTGTAACTTAGCCACTTAAATAAAATAATTTAATGTCGCAGACAGTAGTTAAATGGTCCACCTTTTTGATGTCCAAGCAAAGATCGATGATTAGACAATAAACTTGTCAAGTTGAAGTTATAACCCCAATGTTTAACGCTGATTTTATGGATATGGTTCAATAAACCTTTTGTTCAGCTGAGCTCGCTATCTAAATTTTATCTTCGAGTCAAGCAATACGCCTCACTGTCTCAAGCAGCAGCAGTGATACTGATACCATTAACCGTTATAATGTGCCGATATATTAATTAGCTTAATTAATTAAATAATTAGTAAGGTGTACTAACAATGGTCCCAGCCCTCGGCTGAGGTGAGGTATCCATTAGGATTAGTCTGTCTCTTGACACACTGCCAAGCCACTGCCACTCCAATCAGCGCTACTACGACCAAAATCTGCCTGTGGGAACAATTAATACTTAAACTAAGTTAATTATATAAGTTTAAATATTAATATCATTATATTATTTAAAGTAAAGTACATTTATAAAGCTTCTAGAAAATCTTCAAAATGTTTATCATCATATCCCTTGAGCCTAATAATCAACCACCCAATTGTTCAACTTGGTGTCCGTTACCAGACAGTGCCTACTGAGTGCGGTTAATTCAAAACTGCAAATCAATCGGCATTCGGTAATATATTTAAAATTATTGAAGGATTATTTATGATTTTATTAAAGGGCATAAAGTGCAGTGGCTGTCAACTTGTAAAGGATACGGCCCAGACATGATTAATTAAAATAAAATCTTATGAGAAATCAAACATTTTTCCTGATACTGATAGGGAGCATTGCCAAATATATTATTTATTTTAACGTCTTATTCTTATCCCATCATATATCTTGCCATACGTTGTATGACCCGCCGCGCACGAGTGCGCGTCCCCCTGTATCGTCGGATACAGGCGCCACTTAGTGAAACGACGATGGGGGTCACGACGTGATACAAATAATATCTTGTTGGGTAACTCACATTAATCAGAGCATTGTAATGCGTCTATTCAGTATTGTTAATGTTTTATTGTTTAACCAAAGATCTGCTTGCGGAGGGTCCTTTTTAGATTCATTATCCGATTATCAGCATGGTAAATCAAAATTGCACCAATTTTTTATTATAGTTATTGCTAAAAGTTTAAAAAGAATTATTTATGAATTAATATGGAAGTTCGACGGAACAATCTATAATAAACACTTCCCGTTTTCGATTAACTGAAAATACATTTTTTAAACTGATGCCTGCGTTGCTCAATTTTTGATGCTTAGATTAATCGTCGAATAATCAGTATGGTTAATGGCAACAGCTGTAGCTATTACTGAGTTGTAGAGATTAAAATTTATAAATTAGTATCGAAGTTCTTCGAAAGAATTTGACTTAATATGCTCCGTTTTTATTGGTAGAAAATACAATTTGACATTTCGACATTTACTAAGAGTAAAATACTTATACTTAAAAGTTTTAAACTTTATCTGCTAGACTGAACTATGAAGTCCCACCCCACAGACAGTATTTACGACTCGTTTAACGACCTTTGTCGTCAGATCAGGCTTTTATATACGAAAAGAAATATGCTAAAGACCCGTTTAATGTAAATTTATTTATCTATTTGCGATCTTAGTAATATTTTAATGACTACTTCAAACTATGAACCGTACTTCTAAAAGTACCGTTGAAGAATATGGGTTAAAGTTAAGTAAAGACCTCATGCGTTATAATGCTTGCGTCAGTGAAAAAGCTAAAATAACCTAAAGCTAATTTCACTCGACGTCCCGTTATAACGTTACAACTAAATTAACACAAACATTTAGCCCTAATCGACTCGTCTCATGCCCTCAAAAAGTTGAAAATAAAAACCAACCAAGAAAAGACTTACTTGTTCATTTTGACAGTCGTCAACCGAACACACCTCAAAAAGACCAATGAAATCTACACAATAATGTAAATATAGTGTAACGGAGAGTATAGTGTATATCAAGCTAGAGAGCACCTATAACTCTCCATTTTCCTTAGCTTCGCTGTTGCGCCTCACGGGGAAATGTGTTGCTGTTCTTGTATACCGTGAGGTATAGCAGCACGTGCAAAACACGGGGGTTTACCTTCACTTACAATCGGGGTATCTGACTCAAACAGACGTGTTTTAGAGAGTCTGTCTAGTGCTTATCAGCTCTTGTCCCACCCTCATCCCGAAAGGTAAGATTTCTCTGCTTTTTTCGGGGTTTCTAGCTCCATTTCCATTGCTCCAGGGTGTCACGTGCAATGATCCAGGGAGACACGTGAGCGTGCACGTGGGCTCTTTATGTGTGAGGAGCACGAAACGATGGTAGTTTATACAGGTCCCTCCCCCCTCTCCCATCTCACCGCTAGTGTAATAACTCTTGTTTATCGCGTGTACACGGAACGATTGTATAGTTGTGTAGATTTTACAGCAGATTTTCAGACGTAGACTTTCTCCCAACTGGATCCTGCTTTTGAGGGGGTATGATCTCTGTCTTCTTCATATGGTAGGTGTTCTTATTGCATGTTTTTCTAAATTACTTGAGCTAGTAGGCTTTCTAGATCACCCCGAGTATCAAGCTTGACTTTGTAAAGAGGGAGGTTACACATTATTTGTGTAATCACACATAATGTGTCACTCCACTCCTAAAACAAGGGTTATCCAGTCGCCAACTTCAAAAACGAACATATTAGCATATAAATTTCAGTTCATGGTGACGTCATGACAATTTTATAATCAAAATTTTTAAATAAAATTATGAATCAAAAATGCTTCGACCATAAACTCATAAATTTAAATTGGTGTACGTTCTTTTTCTCAATTTTTTTAATAAGCACATTAATCCTTAAAATTACTCTTTAGCTAGATTTTTTTCGAATTAAACGGTAGTGAGTCGAAGCTCTGACTCTGAGATCCTGTCATGTCACCAAGTTTTGATATTTTGTGGCTTAAGTTCTTAAATCGCGTGCTATGAAGTACACTAAATTTAAATTTGATATTGCTCGACAGATTGGTTAAAAAGTCAAAGAGTTAAATGTTTTCTGATCTATCAGTCTACCGATATGATATTTAAATTTAATTTTCAATTCTGAAGGACTGTGATCACTCAACCGCCATGTAAATATTAGTTTACTTGAATCAACAATATTGTTGCCATTCTCATAATTTGTCATGTTTCTCCTAAAAACACAAATTTTTTAATAATAATAGGTTATTATAAATAGGAACACCTCGACAGAAAATAATATTGCATTGGATCCTTCACTGAATATGTCTAGTGCCACCGTCTACTTCTAGCGTGAAGCGTCAACCCGCTTTAAAATTAATTAGGTAACCATGTAGTAACTCCCAAGATGCAAGTTGGGAGTTTAGGACAAGTACCACCATTAGATTTAGAGCCTGGAGGGGGTGCCATTTATTCTTCCTGGGCGACAATTTTATCGAAGTAAAAAAATTTATTAATTGTACTTAGATAGAAGACTGATCAAAATTTTAAATTTTCATCAAATCCAATATTCGAACATTTTTTATATTTCACCTCGGATTTCTTTGTAACATATCATATTTCAGGGGTGCAACGCTTCTTGCGTTTGGTAGCAGCAGCAAAGTCCTGGAACATTATGTAAACAACGGTAAGTGTAGTTATCTTTTTATTGTTAAGTTTGTATTTTTGTAAGCGGAGTGTTTAAATTAAATTTAGTCGTTGTAAATCATATTGATATAACAAGTCGATGTTTAGGCTGATGCTTGAATGTGGCAGATTTTTTAAGCAAAATAACACATAAAATGGTTTTTATTTGTTGCTAAGATTAATTTTTGGTTCAAATAAAACCAAACTCATTAAAGCAGAGGTCTTTGCTTTACGTGTTGAGATTGGCTTGGCAGACTATAAACAGGTCTAGAAGAAAGATGGAGCTGTTTAATAAAGTGACATGTTGAACACGTGAAGCTCTGCTTTAAAGAGTTTATTAAAGAACCAAACGTTTAACTTTGCACCAAATAAAGCTATTCACGTGCAGTTATACCTCGCTGTTTATCCGGCCTTGACGAATACTTATTAACATGTCAAGGAGATATTATTGAATGAGTGTCAATATCAAGACCGGTTACGATCAAAGCAAATAATTTCTTTAAGATGAAACAGTAATATTAATAAGAAAGCATAAAGATTAAAGCTAGATATCCAATTATCCGTCAAAAACTGCAATAAACATCCACACATCCACAGGACGATCGGAGTTTTGCTGTTACTATTTCTACAACGAAACAGTCTCGATGTTCAGCCACAACTACCACGATCACTATAACCCGGTAAGATCAGATATCCTCAGTGCTAATTTAAGGATGATTATGCTGAAGATAGTAGAATTGAAATATGACTATCAGAGGCCTGAAACCTCGAGTTTAGGCTTCAGCTTCTCGTGAAAGCTTCTTCGATCTTGTAGTACGATGTATCATTAACCAACCTCATAGTACAGTAAAACAGAGAATAACTCATCTAATTTCCCAGACGACCGTTTGCCAGTACAATATCGATGTGAAGTACCCTCCAGAGCTTGAAGACAACTGTGATCTTGCTCTCTGCATCAAGAACCTTAACCTGGACGCTGGAGACTCCATCAAGATCAACCACAGAGACATCCAGGTAGGTTGTGGGAGTAATTATTGTGAGTGAACTTATAATTATCCGTTAGATAAGTGCCTAACGAAGGTATAATTAAAGTTAAACAATCATTAAAAACTTTGTTGTATTTTTATGAGTATATGAACGGAGGTCAAGTATTAAAACAGTTCTCGTTTTTTAAAGCTGAGTTCGCAGGATCTCCTTACAATAAAATTGTTTCCAGGTTGAATACCGAGGAGACAAAACACCGAGCTATCCTATTCGAATCTGGGACCACAAGGTAACTATTTTACCACCTCAACAAGGGGGGGGACAATAGTAATTAGTATGTGTATTTATCAAACACTTTATCCAAATAAGAAATATGTTCCCAGTCCCTTGATTCCTTTAATCTGATGACCAGCAAAGAAATCGCTTTCAGGTGAGCTTCTGGTTCGCAAGTGACAGGGTTGACATTAAGGACGAAGCTAGCTGGGCTATCACTTACACCTGCTTGAAGAGGGGTGAGGATCACGATCTGTGCAACATTTGTGATGGTAAGATTCTACAATCGGTTAAATGATTTATCACACTAATTCCAATATGGATCCTCCTCAATTTTCCTGTCGAGTAGTCAAAATTATGTTTAGATACTTTAGGTTCTCGTTTCTTTTTGATTGAAGTTTCTTCTTTGACATAATATTGCGATGAAGTGAAGCTAAAGTCAAGCTGAACCATTTATTTATTTGCCAGATAATTTTCCAATTATTCATGCCGGACATATTTCAGAATTGAACAAAAAAGCAGTTCTGCCAGAAGATGAGACAACCAATTGGTACAGGATCTGGGCTTAAATGAAACTTGTGATCATGCCAAGTTGGCTGATCAGTTGTCATGATGCCAACTGTTGATTGCTAAAACGAACAGTATTATAGAGTACAGCACCTAAATTAAAATCTATTATATTCACAAATTCTAGCCCACAACATATTTTATTGTAACAATAACGAAGTAGAGTAAAATGTTTGATAGAATGTCAGACGTAATAATAATAGAGTCACGTTTATGTAAATTAGATTTATTCGATAAATTTAAGTTCGTATAAATTAGTTTTGTTCAATAAATTTTGTTAGCTATACAGTTTTGATAAATTGATAAACTTTGTTCGGACGGTAATTCTTTAGTTTATTTTCGACTTCACTGATTCCCCATGGAGAGACTCTGTAATTACTAGAGTCCTTGCTTGTTTTACTCTGTCCTCTGTTTTGAGGTTATTGCAGAATTCACTTAAAGACTTAACCTTACTCGAAGCCTTGTGTAGCAGATGTAAAATTTACCATTTTTCCTGAGAACTAACCGGACGTGATCAAAAGACCTTTTTTATGTTTTAACCACGCGAGTGGTAAAAACAAAAAAGGTCCAGCCCATACGAGTAGCAATATGGTAATAATACTTTAAAAGTTACAAAACTAAATCTTGACATCTAAACCATTATTTAGAGTTTTGTTTCTGAAGAATATGATATCTCCTTTTAAACACCACTCACTGCGTGATAACACCAAATAAATAGATGCTATTGCTGACCACTTGGGGGCCCGACAATTTTGCCCACTGAGATATGATTGGTCTGCTTGTTAATTGTCTAGCTAATTACTTGACCAGTTCATCGAAGGATACAGCCTGCACTAGTGCAGTTGCGTTAAAATCATCAAAATTATCGATAATTGTGCAAATACTCTTTTTTCCCGCTGGTCGTGGACAGTCTTAACGTTCGCAATTTCATTTTACTTCTAATGCAGAAGCAATGCAAAGTTAATGATTATGTCAGAAGTAGTGTCAGAAGTTGCAACACCATGGTGTTGCAACTTCCATGACACTACTTTTGACATAATCATTAACTTTTAAACATGCTATTTAAATGGAAGAGATTTCCTCACACTTCCCTGCTTTAGATATGAGTTGTAGTTTTACGTAGTTTTAAGATAGATCTGAACGGCCAACTATATTTGATGAGGTCTGTATACTGATTGCGATCAGATACATGAAAATGAGCCCGGATAGTCAGTCTTTTGCTGTAAAGTTCATCAATATACATCACAAACCTAATATGAAACCAACAAAATTTTAACTGCTGCACTTTTTCATCCAATCATTTTTAGGGATTACATTTCCATCTCTCTTGTCGTAACTATATTCTTCGCTTGCCCCATATTGTTCGTCATAAGGGCGTCATTACAGCGAGAGTGGGTGTGTTAGCTATGAAACAACCACAAATTGACATTTGGCTTTATCCTAGTAAGTTTATTATAGTAGTACTGCTACTATAGTAAGCTTCGTTCGTCTTGAATATAATAGTGTATACCCCTGCAATCTTGGAACAATAAATAATGTGTTAACTTGATCTTATATTGAGCACATTATAATTAATGATCACAGCGTCAATCAATATAAACGTTTAGTCACAGTTTGGGATAACGCATTTAACAAAACCGAACTGCCCCACTATACTTTAAGCTCCCTTTTGCTTTATCAATCAATAATCATTGTCGAGATTTCGACAGCCCACTCTTTCTGTGGCAATACTCATTACCCAGCGATGCTGTATACAATTGCTTGCTGACCACTCTGAACTGGAACGGTACACCTTAGCGCAATTGCTGACGCACACGCCCATAATTAGGACTAGTTTTAAACAGTTGGTCATCTGAACGCGGCGAAACTTCCTCAAGGCTTAACAAGAAGTCTTAAAGTCTTGATCATTAAATATATATGATATAACTATGAGGCGTGAGGAAGAGCTGATAGGTTACCTTCCAGCTGATTATTTTGATATATGTTACGTGAAAGCTTCTGTAAAACATATTCCTGTATCATTTACATGGTTCGGCATCTCCTCCAGACGGTTTACTTCCTTAATAAATTAATTATTGCATTTGTAGGATAGAATTACAGTAAATTGTGTTCTATGACAAATACATTACAAAAGCTGAGTACCTCAAATTTTACTTTTAAATGAAGTGCAATTCACGTAGCTTCTTACAAGTTTCAATCATTTAAATTTCAACCAATTTGTCTAATTTGTCTTGTTTAAATCCGCACTGCCACGTTATCATTATAATTTTATAATTCAAAACTATGCACTTGCAATATAAACCACTTTTGGGAGCCTATTTTGTATTTTAAAGACTTTTTAAGGGTTACATGCTCATGAAGACCTGATTCACAAGTCAAACAGAAGCATATATTTGATAGGTTTAGATTATCTTTTATAGTTTTAGTATACTGAGTAAAAGATTGAGTACCAGGTTTATGCCGTAAAATAACAGCTGGTCTGTGGACAAAATAAAATATTCATGTCATGTTGTTTCATTCATAATGGTGTTAATTATACTGAGTACACATAAATTGCAACACTCCTAATTATTCGTAGACAGGATGAAACCTTTACCACTATACCAGCACCATTTAGGGTTTTAAAATGTTGAATATTTTGAATTTTGGTATGGCTGCGACATAAAAATTGGAGAGTCTGGAAAGCCCTCTCAATCATCTGATATAAATTAAAAAGCAAAAATGGGCCAATATTGTAATGAATGTAACACGTTTGTACGTACTAGCTTTGCATTGAACCTCACCGCCGCCCCAGCTAGGAGATGATGGGTGCCCCGGCAACGTCTGGCAATAGGGCGTCTATTTGGTGAGAAACCGCTCCTATAAATCGCAGAAATAGACTGTGAGGAATATTTCACACTGGTTCGGGGTTTTATTGCAGTCAGATGGACACTGCCCAGATTGATTAATCTGATTCTCAACTTCCATTTCGCAGGTATCTGCAAAAATTACCAGGAATATAGCCATAGGGCTCACGTGATATATTGGCTGAGTAACCTTAAGAGTTAAAGCCCCAATTAGTTAATGACAGCCTCACGCTGGACCGAACTTGATTAAAATTGATTGATCTAGCATAGTACTAGCAATACATGCAGTGATTGATTTCAGTTCCACGTTCACGATATTCATTCGTGGGGTTAGGGGCAATCTTTTATTTTTAATCTAGCTTTGGAGCGAAGCTAATAATAGTTATAGTTATACGCATATTATTGTTGCAGTTTACACAGTTAATTTCTTTGCAATACCCGGCCATGTGACCATTATCATCTGTAAAACTATATAAGCAGAATATTTACCGGTTTCATCAAGTTATGTTATTAAAGTTAGCCCGTTACTTTTACTACTACCTGGCAAAAGTGAAGAATGGTACTGGTAGCTCTTAAACTCAATCCAGTCAAAGTTTAAATCTAGTTCGTTAAACGAGTGACGCGCACAAACAAGCGATATTATCGTTACTCCGACGGCTGTCATGCAGGTAGCGCGTTGTTTTATTATTGGACGCAATGATAGAATGATGTCTGATAGACTTTTGCGTTTTAGTGGCGATTGAGGGAAGTTCTTGAAACATAGATAGATATAAATCTATAAATGTTACGACAGATTATTTGTTTTAGTAACTTTCTGATCAGAAAATATGGTGAGCGCCCTTGGCTTTAGGCTTCAGCTATTCGATGCAGGTGGCTTTTCAAAATCCGCTTTTGTTATTTGGTGCAATGATGCCTGCGACGGATTACTGCGTTTTTAATGCATGATACGCGTCTTATAAATAAGTAAATGCATTAAGCAATGAGCTGCGCTTCGTAGCGCAATGCCGGGTCGGTTGTCAATGTCTGTAATCTCTGTATTTTCAGTGCCATTTTGTCAATGTTGTCAATGTCTGTAAGTGAGCTTAGCTTTTCAGTGAGGCCTATTAAGTGGAAAAATGTCTTTAGACAACTGTATTCTAGTACTTCTGCTTATCTGCTTTTATGCTAAGGGATGATATTTAAATCAAAGTAGAAAGAAGAACTCATTAATATTTGAAGTTATTTCATTTCAGTCATTGAAAATGAGAAAAGACATTTTTTTGAGAAAAGACAATTTTGAAAATGAAAGCGTCGGGATATTATATGTGTGTTTATACGTTAACGCTACACCTTACCCGCCCAGTATCGGCATTAAATGATATCAAGCTATAAATAGAACTTCAATGAACGGGGGGACATGCACTTTAATTACTATACTTCAATAAACGATGATATTAAACGATCAATCACAAAACACGCTATTTTGATGATAAACGGAGTTTTAGTTATCGGGAGCTTGTTAAAGTGATCATGCGTATCAAATATGATTTAACTTCTAGTTTCACGTTGCAGTCACGCCCCACTCTTTTTGGTTTAAGTCGGGAGGAGATTCATAATGTTTAGAATCGAATCTCATTGGCTTCGGCTTGATCACATCGAATGTTAACATTTGAATGTTAACATTAATTAGCGGAAAGCATAGCGGACTCTAAATATATATTTTGTCAAATTTTGTTCGTGACAAATTCAATGTTTTTGTTTCATTGATTGTTCGACTAAGTCTGCAGCAACTACCAAGATATTTATCTCATTCATCTTGAGAATAATATTACGTTGGATAGTATTAGTATTGAGCAATCGCCAACAAATGGCTTTATTGTTACGGGCCCAATACTCCAATCTTCCAATAGCAAGCACCATGTAGCACCAATAGTGACCATACGCTGCTTTTATTTTGTGGCTGGCGCACTATAATTGGTACCACTACCAATATTAGGCGATCAACCATTGAACAAATGAAGTGGAGAAGCCAATGGATCTAATAACTTATAACTCCAATATGCAATAGTGCTATGATATACGATTAACTATTTCTTGGGGCACCTATTTTCGATATCAAATACTTCATGCTACTAACAGTGGTCCAGATTTCTTTTCTTTAACTTTTTCGCCGAATTTTTTTACTAATTTACTAAATTTTTCTTTGAAATCTCGACAAGTTTCATCTTCGCCAACTTTAGCACTGATTAATGATTAACAATAATCACTTAGCCTTGCTGTGAGCGAATACTCATTTTTATACAGCTGTGCAAATTACTGAATAGTTGTACTCTTTTTTTCCTTCGTCACTCTAAATTGTTTCCAGAATGTACAAAATTAAGGAATAAATTTAAAGCTCCTCTTTGTATCGACATTCACATTTTACAAATCGCTATTTATTTAGTATTTTATATGTTTACTAGAAAACCGCCAGTCGAAATCAGCTTTACTCGAGAAAAT